TTATGTATGCCCATTCTGAAATTGATGCCTGCAGCAGGTTCCAAAAAAGTGGACATGAGCAACTTATGACTGGGAACATTGTGAAATGTGCCAAAAAACATCTTAAACAGGTGATGCAATCCTGCTTGTTTGAAAGGAGCATTCAGGAAAGGTTGAGGATGAGTGAGGATGAGGCTCACCACGTTGCCAAAAAATGCATCTAACAGTTTGAGAACAAAGTTCCTCAACAATCATTTGCAAGGATTTTATTTTGCCCTCTACAGTGCATAATATCATCAAATTATTCAGGGAATCTAAAATATCTGTGTGTGTAAAGGGGAAGGCTGAAAACCAATATTGAATGGCTGTGACTTTCGACCCCTCAGACAGCGCTGCATTAAAAACCAACACGCTTCTGTAATGAATATAACCACAGGGGCTCTGGAATACTAACACAGAGTAAACACAACACCCAGCAAACACACAACATTGCTACAACATTGTCTAATGGTGGTGCTGTTTACATTGTCTGAGCAAGGTTGTCACAACATTGTCACAACTTCATTATTCAGTAATGTTGCCGTGCGGTGTTATGACTGCCGGTTGGCAACTTAGCAAAATTCCATGGAGTTCCATGCACAACACAATGGGACCTATGAGAATTCTAGGCGGTTGTGACAACGTACTGACAACCTTGCTACAGCACTGTCACAATGTTGTCAGATAACGCTGTCACAGCTTTTTTGAGGAATTACATTTCAACATTATGACAACGTTGTGGGCACCAAAACAATTGGTTGTCACAACATAACTGTGTTTGCTGGCCAGTTCCCAAACAATTACTGAATGTTGAATGGTGTTAGACGGCATGGTGGCGTAGTGGGTAGCGCTGTTGCCTCACAGCAAGAAGGGCCTGGGTTCGACTCCCGGCCGGGCGACCAGGGTCCTTTCTGTGTGGAGTTTGCATGTTCTCCCCGTCTCTGCGTGGGTTTCCTCCCACGGTCCAAAAACATGCGGTCAGGCCAATTGGACATGCTGAATTGCTCCTAGGTGTGAACAAGTGTGTGATTGTGTCTGTCTGTCTGTCTGCCCTGCGATGGATTGGCGACCTGTCCAGGGTGTATCCAGCCTTCCGCCCAATGACAGCTGGAATAGGCTCCAGCACCCCACTGTGACCCAGAAGGATAAGCGGTTAGATGATGTATGTATATATGAAAGGTGTTATGGTGATGTAACACCGTGATAAACAAGCCCGTCCCAACATATTTGGAATTGGGTTTGTAGACGTGTGCGTGGAAAACACATGACCTCGGTAAAATTAAACATGATCGCTTGCAATAGACAAAAAATGCTCTGCTAATCTAGACCACGCATTAGAACCATGTGTCAAACACAAGGCCCGCGGGCCTGATCTGGCTCGCAACACAATCCTATCTGCCCCACAAAAGTATTTTAATTTTCTATTAACATTAGCCTGTTTCATAATGCACTGCACTACAGTCCCCAGCATGCACTGCAACGTAATGTGCGCTACAACTCTCCTACCCCAACAACAGTCTATTGGACGGCGGTTACACACAATTCCACACAATTCCACACCAGTCATATCATCAAAATCCATTTCAGCTGTAGTTCAACTAATATAAACACCCAACGTCAGCTCGGAAACTGAGCCCAAGTCTTAATGAACTTGCATCAAAGAAAGGATGCCAGGTGTCTAGATCAAGCAAATAGGTAGGTTTAAAAGACTGAACACCTGAGGACATTTAAATTTTGAATCTTTCAAGCGTCCATGTGATATTTCAAGGTTTACTTCAAGTGTCTGTAGTTTACTGTTGACGTTTTTGCATATTTTGAATAAACAATGGCCAGTTCGGGTTACAGCACAGCAAGTTGATGATGGGTTACCAACAGCTGTGGATTCTATTGCAATGATGCAGATGAAATAAAAGTGCTGTAGAAAGAAAACTGACCTTGCTCCTCCATTATAGATAGTAATGGACATTTAACCAGGACCATCAATTTTTGTGTTTGTTTTTGTGTTTGATCTCCTGGAGATCGACCATCCTGCTCGACCAAAATCTAACACACTTGATCCATCTAACCATGAACATCTAAAGGCAATGATCAAACAGATCAGGCGGGGTCGATTAGGGCTGGAGCTAAAGTCTGAACGGAGGTATATCTGCAGGAGGAGGGTTGGTGACCACTGCACTGGAGGGATTTGGGTGGGTTTTAGAGGGGGCGTATCCATGTTTGTGGTGGAATTAGCTGCAATATAGCACCAAAAGTTTAACAGGCTGTTCCCAGACGTGTATTCTCAGTAGGAGATCACGTCTGGCCCCGCAGGACTAGTCCCAGGCCTTCTCTCTCGCACACGTTCTAAGCAAACCTTTCTGGTGCGCTTTTGTCAAGCCATGCCTTTGGTGTGAAATTTGTCTAGCGTGAAGGAATTATTTAACTAAAGGCCTCCTCCGTCTGCGTCCGCTCCCTGAAGACGGAGGGAATCTTCAGACAAAAGGGAAGAGGAGATCACACACGAGGAGACGGAAGAAGGAGAGGAAGTAAATCTGCAAGCTCTAATATTGAACCTTTGATGGTGTTATTTATCTACTACTCTTTCAGCAAGCGGCAAGTAGCTGGCTGAAAAACCACGGCGCGAGAAAAAAAAAGGAGTGGAAACAGATTGCAGTAAACACAAACAACAGCAGCAGCGGCGGGCGTCGGTGTAGCCCGGGGCTTTGGCGCTCCAGCTGCATTCTAATGCCTTCATCATCATTCCTCCGTCCCCTTTTCCTCGCCGTCTCTCCCACGCTCCTCCTCCAGCACCTCACCTCTCTGCCCTTCACGGGCCAGAACTCACCCCCCCACCCATCCCGCGCGCACGCCGACAGGCCTTTTCAGGGAGACTGACGTGAGCGACAGGCCGAGTTCACTTACAGCAAGCCATGACGGAGAGCCGAGTGAGTGTACCCTGCTGTCGAAGGAGCTCTGAGGAGACCTGAGGGAGTGCAGTTCTGTAGAGCTGGGGTCCTGGAGTAGCCCCGTCCTGCATATTTGGGTGTGTTTTTTTCTGAGATGATGCACCTGATCCAACTAATCAGCTAAGATAGACAGATCAGCAGGAAAATCTAATTTGCATGGTTTTTCCCTAATCCCAAACATAAACCGGATTTCTATTCAAATTTGAAGCAAATTTCGGAAAAGTGCAAATCAACACTGCGAAAATGACTAATCATTAATTTCGCTTAACAAACGAAAACCATGTCTGCAACCTTGGCCATGTTGCTAGTTTTCTCTGCAGCTATTGCTGCTGTTCAATGACATTGAATCTGATGTCTACTTAAGTGGGCACTGGATGGTAGTGTATTGTGATTGGTTGGCACATGTACTCAACTTTAATAATCTTTAATAACATCTAACATGTTGTAACATGTTTTAGATGTGGCCGATGCAGATTTAATACATTGACAAAGAAAAAAATTTGGAATTACTAAGAATTACTACTATTACTAAGTAGAGATACAAGTTATAAAATTTTCCGTAGCGCCCTCCTGTGGACACCCAGTTTAAGAAACTGCTGCCCCAAACACTTACAAGATGGTGAAAATAATTGATGCATTTCTCCTTTACTGGAGAAGCAACTTTTCCACCCCATTTAAGTATAATTCTTTGTTTTCCTTTTGTTCCCAATTTATATAATTTTAAATTTCTGGCTTGTTCATTCAGTTTTTGCATGCAATTAAAAAAAAAAAAAAATGGTGGAATATATGCACTTGTCAATCATCCAAAACTTGTTTGGTGTCCATACTTTTCTTCTTTAATTGCTTCAAAACATTGTGTTATGTATAACAATGAGTGGTGTCAAACGATTAACGTTTCTTGTGTCATTGATTCATTTTCCTAGTTTGACCCTTTGAACTGTGTCATGACTCTGTGACTGCAGCCCTCTTGTTCAAATACAGCTTTTAAATGGAAAGTTCCATTAAGGCGTCAAAGTTTCCAGCTACTGCCTTGGTGAATTTGTTTATCACCGAAATACATCAAGTCTGAAATGTCATGTACAAGCAAAATGCTGCTGATGTCTGCAATAGTAGTAATTTGGCAGACTATGCTGGACAGTGCTTGTGGGAGAAAAGCTAACGCAAGTAACAGCAAAGTGGACAAGCTCCAAATCCCATCAAAACAAGACACAGAGCGAGAAGGCTACAATCGTGGAGGAGTTGGAACACACTGCCCCTGTTGCTCTCATTGGATGTCGGTAATGAAAACAGGAAATTTTCATGTTTAGGTTCATCAGTGAAAAAACTGTTGAATTATTGAAAGTAATAAATACATTCTGACGAAGCTTATTTTGTCTCCTCATATAGCCATAACAAAATTACCAGCTTTTTAGGGTCAAATGCGATTAATCACGATGAACTACGCAAAAGAATGCTTTTAATTGTTTGACAGGTCTAATGAAAGTGGAAAAAAGGACGGTGCATGATTAAAAACAATTGTTTCCATCTTTAAGTTTGAATTTTCTCTGTACTTTTGTTAATTATTATCCACTAAAATATGCAGGCAAGGTTTAGCAATGACTACCGTAGGGTCAGGGGTTTCAATCAGGTCCTTGGGGACCTTCCCCTAAAAGCCAGTGCATCATTTTTGTGACATTCCACACCTGAGCCAAGTAATCATCATCCATCAATGTTATGTATCGATTCTAAATCAGTGTAACTGTACAGCAGCAACACTTTTACATCTATTTATTGTAAATGAGTGTAACCTGGCATCTGCTGTAGTAATAAAAGTCTGTCTACATGGTGACTGTCGGTGGTGTAGTGAACACACTTTTTCTCTGCATTCCTGGATAAATTACTTGTTAAAAAAAGGATGAAGGCAGCTAGACTCTGGAGAAGCATCCATCATGGGGCTGAGGAGTGTTTGGGGCTGGAATGGAATGAAAAACGCAGCCTTGACTCTAACACATCTCCCATTTTGTGTTCCTCGTGGGGCGAAATGAAAGGCACACTCTAAAACGTTAAAGGTCGACGTTTATTCATTTTTTCTTTTTTTCTCGTCACAAATAAAAAGAGAAGTATATCATGCTGACTCATCACAGAAAAGGAAAAAGAAGAGGCAAAAGCTCAGTCCATGTTTCTCTCGGTATGTCGTGAATAATAGCACTCTATGAAGATCGAAATGTAAAAAAAAAGTCTAAGCTTTAGTCCCGTCCTCCTCCTCCTCCTCCTCGTCAGTGTGTGGGTTTATGTGTGTATACGTGGTGGTGTGTGTGCGAGTGTGCGATGTTGCTTTTCAGGCGTGTGCGCAACCCGATTTCCCCGGCCGAACCTCAGTCCCCGGAGGTCTTGATGACCTGGAAGAGTGTGACGTTGTAGAGCACCTGGTGGCCGTTGTTCCAGGTGTAGAGCACGCGCTCCCGCGGATTGTAGTCCATCATGGAGATGTGTGAGTACTGGTTGTGGAAGGGGATGTCTGTGTACTCGTAAGTGGACGTGTTGGTGTAGTAGGCGAAGTAGATCTTGGCGCCGGCCAGGTGCGAGTTGGTGACGTAGAGCGTGCCGCAGATCATGAAGGACTCGCCGGCGCTGCGCTTGGGGAAGCCCGTATCCCACGTCTGAAGCACCTCCAGGCTCTGCGGCTCCAGGCGGCTGATGACGATGTTGCCCGCGTTGGGGATGGTGGTGTAGACGACCCACAGGCCGTTCTCGTCGGCCATCAGGTCGATGTCGGACCAACCGCCCCACGAGTACGGGAAGGTGTTGTTGTAGCCAGCGTTGCTCAGGCTCCTCTGCACCAGGACACTACGGGAACGGAAGTGGTACTTGATCAGGATGTTGCTCTGGTACTTGTTATAATAAAGGGAGCCGTTGTAGACCACGTGGCCTGTACCGGCCCATGGGTGCGGCAGCAGGTGCTGAACGAAATTCTGGCCCTTCATGAAGTCGCCCAGGGTGCGGTACTCCAGCACTCGCCGGCCCTTGTAGTAGCCATCCATCGACCACACCTGAGGAGAGATAATACTGCTTATATATTGTCACTGTCAAAGCATATCTCTCAAAAGTAGGTGGAAGAGAAGTTTCCTTCTTCTGTAAAGAAGACAATTCAATTCACTGACCGAGCTGAAGACCGATGTACAGTACTGTGCAAAAGTCAGAGATGAACCTTCATTTACTTAAATGTTTAGAATTGAAGGGTAGAAATATTTGGAGTGGACCTACTGACTTCTTTATAGTGTTAATGACATGAAAGTGTCATGATGTCTACCATGTAAATATATACATTTCATGTACTATCCAAAATGACCAGTGAACCTACAGACATTTCAACCAATGTCTCAGTCATCTGTCAACGTATTTGTAACCATTTTGCGTAGTACCTGTAGCTTTTGGAGGTACTAAATGCTTCAGACATCTGGTTACAATCACCACCACTCCGATCAATTCTACCTCATTTCACATCAAACCACATCTGTGTATTTAATAATGCAGAAAAATGGATTCTCCATTATTGTCCTTATATTCAGCCAAAACAGCCATAAAGTATGTTTAACTTATTTTTATCAGTGGAATGAAAAAAGCACAAACAGAAAAATGCACAACTGTCTTCAACACTACATGTAATATCAGTTTTTTCAGTATTTAGTGTGTTCACTCTTTGCCTCCTTTAATTTCCATTCCTTTTCGTAGACTTGCTTTTAGTTTACCAAAGAAATCTAAAGAGGTTCTTGCTCTCCTCCAAAGGTTGGTTGCACTTTCTGCTTCTACACAAGAAATTTAGACTCATCACTCCATCTCCAGATGTCCAGCTTCTGGGTTCCTTTTGTCTCTACTTTCTTTTCTCAGTAAGGGCTTCTTGACAGCTACAGAACCAAAGGGTTGGGTTGTCTTCTCACGGTGAAAGGATGGACAGAAACACCTGCAGATTTTTTCAGATCTGACGCAGGAGTGGAGCTTGATTTCCTCTCCTCTCTCAGAGATGAGAGCTTTAAATTCTGTTTATCTGATGGGGACAGTTTTCTTATTTTGTGGCCCCTCCTTCCTAATGCAAGTGGATTATCTTATATCTAATCTTCTCAGAAATCTCTCCTGAAAAATGAATAACTTGTACTTAATGGCTGTTTTGAGTGGAAATGAATAAATGAAGGGTGGTTTCTGACTCACAGTGCTGTATGACAAAACAGATTTAAAAGCTTTGGGAACACTGTAACTGAATATAAGGCTTCTTTAAGTTGAGTAGAAAGAGAGAAAATACTGAGGAAATGAGAGACGAATAAAACATGATGGCATATGGAGACAGAGGGGTGTTAAAATGGTTGAGGAGGGGAAAAGGCAGAATTGGGTGAAAATGAAGGGAGCGGTAAATGAACGGAGGGAGAAAGAGAGAGAGAGAGAGACAGACAGAGAGACAGATGCTGTGATAAAAGTGCCCTGGAAGTACAGACACATCATCTCCTGGCTTTAATGACAGCAGAGCCTATCACCTGTGGAGACTCTTACTGTGCAGTCTAAGTGTGTGCGTATGTGTTGGCACATCTATTGATCTTCTCTCTGTGTGGGGCTGAAGATGTTGCCTGTGCTCTGCACTCCACTGCTGCAGTTGCACCCTGCCCTTTTCCAGTCCACATTTACAGAAAATCAATCCTGTTAGCATCTCTCTCTCTCTCTCTCTCACTCTCTCTCTCTCTCTCTATTTCTCCCTGCGTGACCGGAGTGTCCCGTGGACCCCGCAGCACCGCTGCCGTGGCTCTATCCTTTCTCAGTCATGCTGTCTTTATTGAAGCCTTCAGAGCGAAACCCCAGATAGACTTGCTGTTTGGGCCTCGCACTCTTCTTTTACGCTATAATGAGGGCCCTCTGAGGAGTCTCGCTCTCTTTTTATCTTTCTCTCTCTCTCTCCCTCCCTCCTCTTTTCCCTTGCTCTCTCTCTCTCTCTCATTTCCCCTCTCGCTCCAGAGAGAGATGTGGTGCACGTTCTTATTTTTAGCTGTTTCTCACAGCGGCGCATGCCGGTGAGGACCGAGCAGGGCGATAGAGCGAGAGTGATAAACCGTAAGAAAGAAGTATGGAGCATTAAAGTCAACCAGAAATCAAAATCGATCCTTTCTTTTACTTTGTTTGGTTCATGTTCTTGGTCACATTAAGCACAATCTGTTGCGTCATATCATTCAAAAGACATAATTCTTGTTTCTCTGTAATCTGTGTTCAAAGCGTAGTGATTTCTGCACACTTCTAAACACTGTATGACGTTTGGTTGCGTCAATGTGAGCCAACAGCTGAGGAAACCAGTTGAGGGCTACGCTCTTATACCCATATAAGGGTCTAAAAGGAATTTCCCCTATGAGAAAACTGCCTCTGTCACATCCTGAGGTAATGTACCACAGCCTTTTGTCTTATGAACATTTTTCTCTCGGATATCACTGGATCCTCTCAATTATGAGTTTGTTAAAGAGTCAAAATATGGATATTGCTATATGTAAGCTAATGCTACTGCACACTGAAGTTATTAGACTGGCAGCCTCCTCAAAAAATGCCCAATCCAGCACGTTTTGCCAGTGTGGCAGCCCTACAAGCTGACCTGCACTCAGACAACACTGCTCAACATGACCACACTGAAAGCGGTTTTCACATCTTTTAATACTCCTCTGGTTGTCCTTGAAGACGGTTAACAAACCACAAAGTGATACGACCGCCACTGAGCGGTCCTACCGAGCATGAGCTTGTTATCAGTGCAGTGTAGCAACTCAGTGTTTTCAACATTTTATTGTTTTTTCTGTTAATTCAGTACAAACTCAGCTTAAATGTTACTACTTACCCCCTGACAAGCTGATTTAGGTATATCAAAATATCCTAATTATTCTTTTACTGCTATTAACATTCTTGTTCAAATTTTCCTGTTCCACCTTGAACAGTGCAGCAGTTACATTCTGGCTCCAGAGGTGTTTTAATAACTGCTTCACTGTTGAAGGTGAAGTGGAAAAATTCTAACAAGAAGTTGTCGAATCAGAAGCTGAGCTTCGTGGTTTTAATGCTGGTAGTATTTTGTTGATAAGGTGATTTAAGCTATCAAAATATCCTACCTAGAGGTTTTATGTGTGGAGCTACCTGTAAATATTCACTACTATAGGACATTTTAACAAGGTAGCACCTGCCTGACTTTCGTGTAGCTTAGTGAGGTCAAATTGATGCGCTGCAGCATTAGCTTGCATATAGTAATATTAGTATTATGACTCTTTAGCGACCTCATAATTCAGACGATCTAATGATACATGGGAGAAAAATGTACACAGGACAAAACATCGAGTTCTGAATATTTTTATTTACCACAGGGCAGGTTAGAGGTGATTTTTCAAGAACCACTTTCATTTTGTCCATAGAAAATTCAAGCTTAGACCCAGAGTTTCAAATATTGGCAAAAAGTCAACTACAGAATGATGCATTAACTTGGTGATCTGTAACATCATAGCATGTTTCCCTCCCCTCTCATCACCCTGACCAATCATCAGCGAGAGCACCTCCGCTCCCAGCTGCACAAACGTATGTCGATTGACGACCTCAGTTCTTCTCCTCACTTTCAGAGTAAGGACTGTAAAATAATCACTTATGAGTTATTTCAGCTCGTTTACACTGAAAACCCGTATTGATGTTAATGAAGGGGGTCAGCTGATGATGAAGTGATGTGTCCACACACAGTCCCTCTCTCGCTCAAATATTAGGTGATCACACTCAAACATGGATTCATTTAACCTGACTTCTTTTTTCCTGGTCTTTTTCTTTCACTTTTGCAATCCATATTTTAGAGATACCAGTAGGTCACACAACTAAGTTTACAAGGCTAAATGGTAAGCATAAGCTTCCATTAATTGTTAGCTACAAGAGTTGAGGACTCAAGTCACTGATTCAAACTTGAGGCGCACTCAAGTCGCGTGCTGACTGACTCAAGACTCTACTCAGACTTGTCCTGAAGTCGCAACTCGACTCTCAGTATTTGACAAGTAAGACTTGTGAAACTTTAACCTCAGAGAAAGGACTGCCCGGTTTAGTGCACAATGCTTACTGGTGTGAATAACCTTCCATTACTTGCTAGCTACATGAGATGGGGCCTTGAGTGACTGAATCACGTCTCAATGAATTGACTCATGACTCAAGTCAACAATGTGATGGTTGGCTAGTATGTAGTTTGCATACCAAATATGGCAGTTAGTGCATCTGTTTTAGTAAGTTACATATTCATTTAAATTTAGGCTACAGCTGGATTAGCTATTACGCTATCTAGCTAGCATACTTGGTAAAGAAGCTTCAGTTTAACCAACTATTTTAAGCTGTTTTGCCTCTTTCCCTTCCGTCCTCCAGCCGTGTTGAATCAGCTTTTTAGTAAGAGGGTTTACTTTTGTACAACGCAATTCCTGCAGCGAAACAAAGACGAAACTAAAATTCTCCACTAAAGACTAGAGACTTGAGTTGGACTTAAACACCAGAGACTAGCATGTGTTGACTAGTGAACATCTCTGTTAGCTTTGTTAGCCAAACATGTCTCGGCTGATTGACTACATTTGGGGAAAAATCTATAATAAAATCGATTTTTTGCCAAACTATTCCTTCAGGCATGTTTATTTCCATCCAACTGACTCCCTGGAGCCCTGATAGTGGAGTTGCGGTTGACCTGCGGGCCGTCTGTCTTTGCATGGCCTTGCCAGAGATGGCCTGAGGGAGGTGGCTGGTGCCATGCAGCCCCTGACATTTACTCTCCCTGAGCGTGATCAGTATGATTGATACAGCCATTAGCGCGATCACTGTGATTTATCTGTCGATTAATGTGATCAGTGATTGATCTGAAGGCTAATGTGATTTTAGTGAGTGATGCCATCATTAAAGCCAGAGACGGAGGGCTGATCATGGAAGATGACCTTTGCTGTTCACAATATCCATTTAGACTGTGTCAATGAGGAGGATGAATAATGATACAGTTCCCTTCAGAGATCTTGTCCTCTCTCTACTTCCTCCTGTCCTCTTCCTGTCTTGTCCTGTTTACTCTCCTTCACTCTTTTCTCTTCTTCTTTGCATCTTGTCTATTTCCTCCTCTTCATTGTTTAGCTTTTTCCTTATCTTGTCCTCTGCACATTACTTCTCTTCTCTTTTCTCTTCTCTGAACCACCTCTCCTCTTTGTTTTTCTCCCCTCCTCTCTTCTTTCTTTTCTCCTCTTGTCTCCTCTCTGTTTGTCTTCTCTCATCTCCACTTTTTGTTTACTCTGACCTCGTCTCTCAATTCTCCTCATTTCCTCCCCTTCCTGTGTCCTCTCTTCTTTTTTCCTCTCTTCTCCCCTCCTCTGTTCTGTTTGTCTCCTCTCCTCCTTTCTCATTTCTTCTTCCTGCTTTTCTCCTCTCTTCTCATCTGCTTTCCTCTCCTCTCTTCTCTTCCTTTCTCATCTCCTTTCCTCTCCTCTCTCCTCTCGTTTCTTTACTCCTTTCCTCTTCGCTTCTTTTCTCCCCTCTCATTTTTCTCCTCTCCTCTCATTCTCATCTTTTCTCTTCTCCTTTCCTCTCCTCTTTCCTCTTCTCCTCACCTCTCCTCTCATTTTTCTCCTCTTCTCTTCTCTCTCCTTTCCTCTCCTCTCTGTTTGTCTCCTCTCTTCATTTCTCCTCACCTATCCTCTCTGTCTCCTCTCTTCATTTCTCCTCTCCTCTTCTCTCCTCTCTTCATTTTTCTCCTCTCCTCTCATTTTCTCTTATCTTTTCTCTTCTCTCTCCTTTCCTCTCCTCTTTTTTCTCCTCTCCTCTCTGTTTGTCTCGTCTCTTCATTTCTCCTCTCCTCTCTTTATTTCTCCTCTCCTCCTCTCTTCGTCTCCTCTCTTCATTTCTCCTCTCCTTTCCTCTCTTCTTTTCTTCTTTCTTCTCCTCTCCTCTCTGTATGTCTCCTCTCTCCATTTCTCCTCTCCTCGAGTCTCCTCCCTCCCCCCCTGCAGTGTGGGTTATTTTGGGCTGTTTGTCGTGTACAGTGCGCAGTGGGGAGGGCTTTACTATATCATCTCCATGGACAGCTGTGTCAGGCGCTGGTGGAGCTGTGGGTAATTAAGGCGGCGGTGGGGAAACTTTAGCCTAAACAAGTTGTTAATATCCAGTCCAGTGATGGAGTGATTAATCAAGCACTGTGGCTGTGACAGGAAGGGTCAGGAAGTGCGAGAGAGGGACAGAGAGCGAAAGAGGGAGGAAAAAGAGGTGGTGAGAGAGAGAGGGAGGGAGGAGGAGGGATAGCCATCTATCAGTGACTCAGCTTTCTCCACGCAAAGGAACAGCTTCCACAAGAGTGACTCAGAGTGTGTGTCGGAGTGTGTGTGCATGCGTACGGGCATATTTACGTCTGTGCATGCTGTTATACAGTAAACTGGTATACTGCTGGTGTAGAGTACTGTGCTCTGTACTGTCAATGTCCAGTCAAAATAGCCATTAAGTATGTTATTCATTTTTCAGTGTCAGAACTCCGTAAGCGTCTTATTTAAAACCTTTCATCTGGGCAGTAAGTGCTTGTATAAGAGACACTGTTCCCACCGCTCTCGGTAGGAGAGACTTTTATTGTAAATAAATGTTGTTGTCGTGGACATTATATGTGTGGCGCTGTTGTTGGTGACATTCTGTGCTTGGCTGGGGGTTAGTTGTGCTGGGCTGTTTGCCTACCGTCTAGCAAGGATGTATGGCTGTTAGTGACCTGCCCCGTTCTGCCCTCAGCAGTGCTGAGTAGAGGTTCTGCCCTGCTGCTGCTGTTCTAAGCATTTGCTTAAAGCGCTATGTTTCCTGTGTCTTCCTCTGCTCTAACGCCACAGTGGTGTCAGGAGTGGGGTAGTACTCCCTAGTGGCCTTTAGAGGAATGGTGTTTCCACAACTCAAAGATGGATAGTGCAGAGAACCGATCCCAGCCGAGGTCTGCAGAGGAAGAAGCAGTGCAATGAGGACAGGCGGTGAAGACAGTGAAAAAGCAGGCTCGTTAGATGAAAAAGGAGGAAGCCACAAGGACCTGCCAGCGGAGCAGCATGGCAGCCTGGTGGTGTTGACCATGGCCGCCCAGTGACACATTGGGCTGGAATCATGGTTGTCCATGCGGCTGCTGTTTAGTAAACAGCCAATGGACGAGCTGGCATTGGAACTGTGATGGCACATGCAGCTTGCCGCATTGGCCTGGCTTTCAATGCGCGGTACACGAGGCAGAGAGTCAAAGCTCCAGCACGTGCAAGCAGCATGCATGGAGCTCCACTTTCCTGGGAAGGAGGATGCAGTGCTTAGTATATTCACTGGGGACATGACCTGAGAGAGGACTGGTGGGACCACTGCTGCAGAGAGTTCTCCTTCGGGGAAGGGGTGGGGTGGTTGTGTGGTTTGTGGGTGGCGTACCCCTGCAGACCCTAAGAACTCTATTTGAACTCTTTGACGTCATTGAGATGGCTGAACTTTGAAGGTGGGGCTATGTAGCATCACGCTACTGGCTCACGTGGTCATGGATGTGCGGGAGGCATGGCCATGGAGAGCACAAACAGGCTCAGAGGAGGTGCCGCTCTTCAGAAGGAGAGATTGTATTGTAAATAACTGTTTGTTGTGGACGTTGCATGTTTAGCAGTGTTTTTGGTGCCATTTTGCCCTGGGCTGGAGATTAGTTGTGCTGGGTTGCTTGCCTTACGTCAAGCAGAGATGTATAGCTATTAGTGACCTTCCCCACCGTGCCCTGTTTCGGCAGCGCTGAGTGGTGGTCCTCCCCTGCTGCCTCAACAACTAAAAATATAATGTTTTTTTCTGTATTTAGTGTATTTACTTTTTGCCTGCTGTTCTTTTCAGCTTTTTTAAAGAAATCTGCAGGAATATTTTTACACATCTCCAAACTTCAGCCAACTTCAGAAGTTGGTTGTATTTTCCGCTTCCTACATTTCCAAATAATGCCACATCTTATGATGTTTCCTTTTAGACTTTTTGGTGGTCCACTGGGTCTTGCATGGTCGTTAGGAGTCCCACTATTTCTGTCTTTTAATATTTTTTTTTGTTGAGCTCCATTTTTGGAAGTCCTTATGCAAGTGGATGATCTTATATGTACTTCAGAACTTTTTCCTGAATGAATAACTTGTGCTTAATAGACGTTCTGATCACTGAAACATGGTCTTAGTCTTTTGCACCATGCTGTATGTATGTGTGGGTATGTGTATGTGCATGTCTGTGTTTGCATATGTGTCTCTGTGTGTATATAGATCAGAGCTCATATGACTGTGCAGCAGTGCAGAAGCCTGGCGTCTCTTACCCTGTTATCAGAGCTGGGGATCATAGTGTCCGTCATCCAGGAACCAAACCTGGAGCCTGAGGCGCGGATGGTGATGGGGTTACTGACACCCGTCAGCTTCCCACAGCCTAGAACGGACATGCACAAACACACACACACAGACATACAGTCATGCTGTTAAAGCCAGTAAGTGGAAGATTAAGCAAGTAATGTCGTTTTTTGCATCCAAAATCAGCTTCGGATGCTGATAGTGCAGCCCTCACCATGTCTGAGTGAGGAGAATCGCCTTTTCTCAGCTGTGCTCTCGTGGCATTTGCAGCAAAACATGCACCAGCAAATTCGTCATATTTTGACAAGGTGTGCCACGCCGGCTAGGACTTTTGAAAAAAGAGCCGGTAAAACAATTACACGAGCTGCAGTGACCTGTATTGGTGTACGATGCTCATTTAGTCTTCGCAGCGTATTTATGAAGAAGTTATAAGGGCTACTAAATGAAATCAAAGCATATCATCCAAAACAAAATAGCTGATAAGAAGTACAGAGCTAGTAGTTGCTAATTATTCTGGGGCGATTTGCATAATTCCAATTGTTGGGGTGTGATTAACATAATTCTAATTGCAGGCTGCCATCTTTCACTCCTAATTAGAGGACTTCTACACTTTTGATTTTGGATCCGATTCTGTTCCTTTAAGGGCCCCTGTATGCCTCAGTGCAGCGGTGCTGAAGCAGCGGGGGTCTGCCGCGCCAAAGGCAACACTTAAGGTGCGGTGTAAGTTTTCTGTCAGATCATCAGTTTGGCCTCTCCTTGCTGGGACTTTCAGGAGGGATCTCCAGTTTAGCGACTCGTATTACACGCACAGTTACCGGCTTATCAAGCATCTCCGAGCCCAATTACTCCGCCGCATAATTACGAAAGCAGTATGTACATTATCTCGTTAGGATGCTGTCTCTCATCACCCTTGCTTTAAACACTTACCTAAATTGCAGAGTAATTGCATTTTTTTGTTTCACGCAGTTGAACATTGCTTTGCTCAAGCACAGGCTGAGCATTCTAAGCTTTCTGATCTGGAGAAATGGTGGGTTGGTAGATTTAAAGCATAGAGTGGGACTGGAACAATAAATCGATAAAAGATAAAAAAAATGACTGATTAATATTTTAAACCATTGTTATGTTGCAGCTACATCTTCAGTATATCTGGGGCAGTGTCCATTTGAGCCAGAAGGGGCTAAAAAGCTGCAAAGCCGTTTCATATTGAAATTAGCACACATTCTCATGAAACTGAAACATGTCTATTAATATGAGCGTCATAAACATCGTGCAGATTAATCAAGGTTCATTTAATTAAGTAGATCAACTGGATCTACTACAGCAAAAGTCTGTGGAGGTAATTTTTTAACCCAATTATCATTACAGCAATGTGTTTCTCATTAGGAAATCCCAATTCTTTCATTATATAAAATGACCTTGTGGTACCTTTAGTTGTTAAATCTCTTTAATGATATGTTTTAATGATAGATATGAACCAAAACAACAAACTGCTTTGTGGCAGTAAAATGAAAAGCTTTAAAGACAGTCATTGCAAACATAATATATATATATATATATATATAAATCTGAAAAGTTTGGCAAAAAAACTTTAATTGTTCAACCAGTCACCTTTATTTGTGTATCCAAAAAAAGAAAACTTTAAGTTGTTGTCATTGTAATTTGTTTGTGATCATAATCGCTGTGGGAGTCAGTGGAACATTTTTAGCAGAATAGGCTGCTACCTAGTGTTTGCATCTTAGGGCCACTTTATTAAAATAAATAGAACTTTGTTGCTGTTACTTCTCAAAGGATCCATTTTTACTGCATGTTTGTTAAATACCAAACACATACTGGACTTGGTGTGAAGGTTTCAGTGCATTTAAAGACCCCACAAAGACCGAACATAAAACTAAAATAAAATAAAAACCACTGCTTCTGATATCAGTTTCACTGTGTAGCAGTTTTCAGATAACACTCAGTCATACCAAAAACACGGAAAAATGATTTCAAGGCCATAATTGATCATTAATGATAAACTGATAAGTAGTCTTGGCCCTATTTAGCATCTAAGAAGATACAAGGTGCTACTGTTGCTGGGGGACAGTGAAAGTGCAGTTTGTCCCTCTCTAACTGGTGGGGTGTTAGGACAGGCAGAGATCATGCAGCGTTTAAAAAGACCAGCGACAGACTTCACACACCTCAGGAAAATTGCATACTGGTGTGTAATACAGTAGATAGACTAATGGGAAATGGTCCAGTGGAAGGAAACAGGAAGAAACGCTTCACGTGATTAATCTTTATATATAATGTTGTGATGTTATATGTATTTATAGTGACATAATTAGGTAATTATAATGATGTTAAACGATTTAAAGTTTTTTCATTTGAAGCAAATACTAATACTCTGCGAAGTTTTGAAATATGCATGTTTGCGAACACTCTGAATGTTGTATTATTTTGTGAGCATTGCATTTTCGACTGTTTTGTTTTTAACTGGCTGCTAGCGTAAAATGTGGCTGGAGTGCAGGGCTGTACGTAACCTTTTCGAGCATGTAGCACTGGTGGTAGAAAACTGCTGCAGCACGTGTTGAAATATTGTGGCAATCCTAATTTTGGAATAATGTGTCATTTTAACTGTGGAATAACAGAAGCAGCATATTAAAGAATTTTAATGTTCATACACACATTTTCCAAGCCACTTATCCTTCTGGGTTGTGGGGGGAGCTGGAGCCTATCCCAGCGGTCATTGGGCAGAAGACAGGAAACACCCTGGACAGGTCGCCAGTCCATCACAGGGCAGACAGACAGGCACATTCACACCTAGGGGCAATTTACCATGTCCAATTGGCCTGGCTGCATGTCTTTGGACTATGGGAGGAAACCGGAGTACCCGAAGGAAACACACGCAGACACGGGGAGAACATGTAAACTCCACACAGAAAGAACCCAGGCCCTTCTTGCTGTGAGGCGACAGTGCTACCCGCTGCACCACCGTGCTGTCTCACGTTTTCATTTTCTACCGTAATTCAGACTTCCCACAAGGGGGCCCTGTTAGTACTCAAGCATTTCTGTGCATCATTAAAAGAGATTAAACAGCTCCCACACCAGCAGGATTTTGCATTTGCTGTCATATATTTTCCAAACAGCAAAACAGTTTATTACCAAAAGGTAAGGCTCCATGTTACCTGTTGAGTTATCTGAGTTATATGTGAGTTACATGTGAGTTTTAACACAATCAGTTCATTCTAAAAAGAGGCAATGAGCACAGTAAGGAGTGCCTCAGCTTCTGAATCTGAAAGTAAAACTCCAAAATTGTAGCTGGCTTTACATACGACATTCCTCTGTTTACAGACATTTGGGTTCCTTCTATTGTATTCAAACAACCATCACAAAATGCTTGAAAAAGGTAGATTCTATGTGCCGATGCCAAAGCCCAGTGGCTTAAACACAGTCAAAACATTGCAGTTTGTGGATCAGGCTTAATACTCGGTCCATAGAAATATGCCTGGATCAGCTCCAGAGGATCAGGGCACCAGTAAACACTGAAAGCTTTAAGTTTTAAAAATACTTTGTATTTTATGACTCCATTTTTCATGCAATATAGTACCGCTGAAAGCTTTAAACTTATATAATTGTAGATAATCAGCTCTGTAATTCACATTAGCGGTTTTATAGGTTTTTATTGCAGATGTCAGTGAATATAATGATTAATAAACGCAGCTCCATTCACCACCCACCCACCCACACACATATACATGCCCACTCTTCCTCACCAAGCTTCTGCATGCAGGAGTGCAGGCGGGTCTCCAGCAGCAGCACTCTCTGGCGGAGCTCCTCATAGTCATAGGCTCCCATCTCCTCCTGGATGGCCATCAGCACCAGCGACAGGTTCCTCACCTCCTCCCTGAGCCGCAGGATCATCCGTGCGTCCGTCTTGTACTGCTCCAGCACCGGCAGAAGGGGGAGCAGCTGAGTCACCTTGTCCTTCAGGTCCTGAGAGGTGAAAGGAAAGCAGACCGGAAGAAAGAAAAAAAGATTAAGGTCAGATTCCATTTCACTTCTACTCACTACTCACTTAAATGGGGGAATCCCTGTTACCTTACAGGGCTAATCTAATCCAGTGTAGCCAATGGAAGGTATCAGAAAACACTTCAAAAACGAAGCAAAACAAAAACACTCCATCAGCCTGCCTTCAGATGATGAGTGGCAAAATGACCTTGTGCTGGCAAAGGAACTGTTTTCCATGTTGCCCAGAGGCAACACTATCCAGGTGTCGCACACTGCTTGGATTTTACAGCTTAATGCACCACTGAAGTTTACTAACATTCAGCCTTGACCTTGTTCGCTGTCTTGCTGACCTCTCAAGCATAAGAAGCGACTCACTTCTTGAACAGTCATGGTGGAGAAACGGTAAGAGGTTTCTTTATGCATGATAAACTGACATCAAATCCTAACTGTGAGCTTTGCTCCTTAGGGATACCTGGTTCTTCGAAACAAATGGTTTGGGATTTTCCAAAGGTTTATTCATTTTGGAGGAAAGTGACTTCTATACTTTTTTATACTTATAGGAAAGGACATTCCCTTTCAACCAATTTTATTGCTTCTTAATGACGATTCACATCTACAGCTCACTGAGAAACGACGCAACATTAAATTTGCTGGTTTAACCGCAGCAAAAAACCTGATAGTTCAGTGTTGGATGCCCCCTCATGTACTGCGTAGGGGGCAGTGGTTATTTTACTTTTCATGATATAGTTACGATGTAGCGCTCTACTGCTAGAATTCACGGTGCAAAACTTGGCTGGTAACATGCACGTGTTGGTGGGGCATGTAGGCATAGATGTGAGGGTATCAATATATGTATATAATAAGTTAGCTTTGATTTATGGTGTTTATCTTTTGTTTCTATGTTCACTTCATTGTGTTGGTTTTCCAACTGAGGGTGGATAATTGGGAGGAAGGTAGTTTGGAGTGGGGGGAGCATTTATTTGCATTTGTATCTGTGTTACTATTGTACATCTTGTTTTTTTGTTTAGTTTAAAAAAAAAATGTTCAAAAAAAGAGGTTTCTTTATGAATGGGAGGAAAAATGGACACAGTATCACAAAATTTAGCTTTTAAAAATACCACTGATCCACAGAGGACCATCAATATTTTATGATCTAATTACAGATGTGGACAAATTTTTTGGTACGCTTCTACAAAAAAAGAAGAACCCACAATTTGCTCTTTTCCATATTTAATAGAAATCAGACCTTACTTTTGCTTTTTGATCAAACAGAACATTAAATAATAAGATGAATGTAAATGGCATGGACAATACGATGGGACCCTTAATCTAATTTTATTGCACAAGTTTTGGAGGAAATCACTGCATACAGTGATTTCTGTAGCTCTAAATGCACCTGTCCTCTCATAGTTTGGCCCACTCTTCTTCAGCAAATTGCCCCATGAACAGACGCAAAAAAGCAGCCCCAAAACATAACCGAGTTTCCTCCGAGTTGCTTCAACAAGTAATAGATCACCATGTCATATCGTTTAGCCTATCACAAATCTTTAAACACTCTATCAATAGAATTGTACTGTGGGGCCTGCAGTGATTGGCTATGAGTTTCCCAGCTATGGGAAACCCAGCTATGGGTTTCAGTGACAATTTTCTCCCCCTCAAGACATTTTTCAACCCATTTTTTGGCTCAGCTGCTTTTTGATGAGGTTGAACTTAATTTTGTACCCACTTTTTTGCTCTCCAGGATTTCTCCCACATTCCCGAAAGATCAACCAAGACTGAAACCTTTTTTGTTTGAAATTGGAACATGTTTTTGCAACACTGCAGATGTCTGATGGATGGTTTTCATACTTGTTGCTAGGTTACAGTGAGAGTCTTGATGGCATAGCACTGCTCCAACCTTGTGGGGGGCAAAGCACAAAACGCTTATCATCTGTAGGCAGCCTTAAGCCTAAAGAGTACCCTGAATCCCCTGCCTGCAGAGATGCTACAATGTCAAACTAAAAGTTCAAATCACCAGTGTGCATGTGAGAGTAATGCATTTCTAACTGAAGTAACAAAGCGTTACGGCTGCTTGTGGTTCAGTTCATGATTTTAAATCATAGCATCATGTCTTCTGTACACTAAGCTCCACCGCTGCACACACGAAACAAACTGGGTCACACCACTTCATTTATGATTAATGGGTTTTGATGAGAATTTTCCAGTTCTGCTTAATCATATTATCTCATACGACTCATACGAGGATAGATTCCCCTTTTGAGTCTTGGTTCCTCTCAGTAGTTTTTCCTTTTGCTTTTAGGAGGTTCCCCTTATGAGATTTGGTTCCTCCTTGTGTTGTTCCTCATATTTTTAAGCAGGTTCTCCTTCTGAGTCTTGGTCCTTCTCAATGGTTCCTCCTCATGTTCTTAAAAAGGTTTCTTCTCAGTGGTTCTTCTGTAGGTTCTCAAGGAGTTTCTCCTTTCCACTCTCAGTTTCTCTCAGTGGTTCTTCTGTAGGTTCTCAAGGAGTTTCTCCTTTCCACTCTCAGTTTCTCTCAGTGGTTCTTCTGTAGGTTCTCAAGGAGTTTCTCCTTTCCACTCTCAGTTTCTCTCAGTGGTTCTTCCTCACCTTCCTTGTTAAGGAGTTTTTTTTTGAGTCTTGGTTCCTCACAGTGTTTCCTCCTCATGTTCTTAGAGCATTTCTTCTTGAGTCTTAGTCCTCCTCAGTGTTTCTTCCTCATGTTCTTAAGGAGTTTCTCCTTTCCACTCTCAGCTATTCTCAGTGGTTGCTCCTCATGTTCTTAAGGAGGTTTTCCTTTTGCGTATTGGTTCCCGTCAGCAGTTCTTCCTCATGTTCTTAGAGCATTTCTTCTTGAGTCTTAGTTCTTCTCAGTGCTCTTCTTCATGTCCACTCTCAGTTCCTCTCAGTGGTTCTTCTGTAGGTTCTGAAGGAGTTTCTCCTTTCCACTCTCAGTTTCTCTCAGTGGTTCTTCTGTAGGTTCTCAAGGAGTTTCTCCTTTCCACTCTCAGTTTCTCTCAATAGTTCTTCTGTAGGTTCTCAAGGAGTTTCTCCTTTCCACTCTCAGTTTCTCTCAATGGTTCTTCTGTAGGTTCTCAAGGAGTTTCTCCTTTCTACTCTCAGTTCCTCTCAGTGGTTCTTCCTCACCTTCTTTGTTAAGGAGTTTTTTTTTGAGTCTTGGTTCCTCACAGTGTTTCCTCCTCATGTTCTTAGAGCATTTCTTCTTGAGTCTTAATTCTTCTCAGTGTTCTTCCTCATGTCCACTCTCAGTTCCTTTCATTGGTTTTTCCTCTTGCCCTTAGGAGGTTCCCCTTTTGAGATTTGGTTCCTCCTAGTATTCTTCCTCATGCTTTTAAGGAGGTTCTTCTTCTGAGTCTTGGTTCGTCTCAGCAGTTCTTCCTCAAGTTTTTAGGGAGTTTCTCCTCTTGAGTCTTTCTCCTTTCCACTCTCAGTTCCTCTCAGTGATTGTTCTGTAGGTTCTTAAGAAATTTCTCCTTTCAACTCTTAGTCCCTCTTAGTGGTTTCATCTTCAAGCCCTTAGAGAGGTTCTCCTTTTGAATCTTGGCTCCTCTCAGTGTTTCTTCTTCATGCTCTTAGGGAGTTTCTCCTTTTGAGTCTTGGTTCCTCTCAGTGGTCATACATCACACTCTTAGGAAGCTACCTCTTATAAGTCTTGGTTCCTCACAGTGTTTCTTCCTCCTGCCCGTGTGTAGACTTAAACTCCTGTAAAACCACATTGGCACCATGTTCTACAAAGTGAGATTAAATAAAATTGAGTTTCTTTCTGTTAAAGATGAATTCAGCTCTCAGTACAGACTTACTGGGTTTATGTCTTATTAGGAAAGCGTGAGCTGTCAAGAATCTAAAATCACAGTTCTGATCTGTGACTTCGAGAGGGGCCTTGGGAACAGATGGAGCAGTAGGTTGGATTAATAATTAAAAATGAATGCAGATGTAAAAAATCAGCATGATACCCACGCAGGGCTCTTTGGGAGAAGTGCTCTCTGTGTGGCTTCGGATTTATGACTGGGAAGTTGGCGGAGGTCTTGCTGTGATAAACACCCCGCTGTTAGCCCAACAGTTTCCATCATGGACCAAGGAATGTATTTTTGATAAGTGGGACCAGACATCGGCCCCCACTCGGCCCCCACATTTGTCACCGTCGTCTTTCACTTGCTTTGAAAAAATTGGTCATCGTTTTGCGGCACTTCATTCTTTTGCTTCATTGCTGTCACTCACTGTAGCCCGTATTGCTCTATCAAGATGACAGCAGGCCAGACGTATGTACGGGCGCAGAATGTGCCTTGATAAGGCCACAACATGCAGCCACAACACCTTAAATTAGCATTCTGTTACTAAGACTGCATCTTATCTTGCACACTGAGGATAGTCCCACTTGCTAACTGCTGGCTCATGACGTGCAGGGCTTAAAAGGCAATGTGAAGTAATGGAGCCATCAACAAGTTCGAGACAAAGCAGTAAGAGAACGTATTTCCTACCAAAGCATTCTTCAGGAGGGGTTCTACGCCAGCTAAGTCAATAGAGTTTATGAAACAGAAACATGGACAGTGTGTCCATATTGCGGCATATTTGCGACGTGGCTTTTCACGTAAGTCCATCTGGTTCCATTAGTTAAAACAGTGTTATTCTCATGGTAAACAATTTCGATTGAGGCTTGTGACTCCATCTAAGAGCTGTGTCTACTGCTAGTGTTAAAGGAAGTCTGTGCAGGTAAAAAGAGGCACATTGCAGGTACATTTTTTGTTCATCGAGGTCCAAACAATATAAATGCACCCTCAAAAGTACAACAGTGGTTTTATGGTTCAACTGTGTACCTTAAATAAGTTTTTTCCCAGGAAAGAGGTACATATTTGTACTTTTTCATAAGCTAATGTTTGAACACAGAACAATAAATTAAAAAGCTTGGAGACAAAACAGGGTGTTTGGAGACACTATGGCTTAAAAAATATAACTGAAAAGTATAGTTT